GGAAACATATAACCAGTACTATAATTCTGGCCAAGAACTCATGGTTGGGGTGCTCACAGACCACAGGGTTGAGCCTACTAGTATTTTGTTAAATGGTCACAGTATCTAGCTGCCCTCTAAATTTTTCTCTCTACACCCATAGATTAATGCAGCTCCCAGACCTCATTAGAGAAGTTTCTTGGTGCAGTGAATGGTGGTTAATGCAGAAACTTACAGTGGGTTAAAGTGCAGAGAATAAGTGTTAGTGGAGTCTTAGTCATAAATGGGACATTCATATTGCCCCCTTCCCAATACTCAGGCACTACTGTGAAAGGGGGCAGAAAGATTTAAGAGTCAAAGGTCAGGGAGGACCTGAGTAAAATACTGTCTTTTGACAAGACAGGTTCACTATGCTCATGAACTCCCAGCAGCTGCAGACCTGCACAAGATCAAGTCAGTCAACAACCAGCATGAAGGGTGAAGAGGCTCAGGAATCACCCCGCATCCCCTGTCCCCTGTCCTCACACACACATAGCTAGAGCTTTGGACAGATGATTTCTTCTGTTTTCTTTAGGGATGTGGCCTTTGGTAGATCAACACTCTCGAGTTTATGACACCCCACCAGTGAGTATAAGGGCAACCAAAATTGGACTGGTTGGTTATAACAATTAAAAAATTTAAAAAGGAAACAAAGTTCAGAGTGAATTGGAAATGGGGTTAGATCTGGAAGGTAATAATCGAGAAGTAGGGAGTGAATGTAATCAAAATACATTATATACATTTACTAAATTCTGAATGATATCCCCATCAAAATATCAATGGCATTCTTTATAGAACTAAAAAATATCTAAAATTTATAAGGAAACACAGTAAGTTTAGAGAATAATCCTGATTTTTAAAAGATCAACACTGTGGTCATCATAACAAAGAATTAAAAATAACATGGTCATGGCTTAAAACAAACATACAGATCAAGGGACCAAAACAGAGGACCAGGCAATCGATCTTCACATAGTTAGCCTAAATGGCTACCAAAATATATCATAGAATACACTGGAGGCAGCACACTCCCCCTGCGACAAATGAGCTCTAGGGAAACAGGATATTCAAGCAGAAGGTTGAAACCACATCCCTATTTCTCTCCCTGTCCAAAAGTCAACTCAAAATGGGTTATAAATCTTAATGTAGGACCTAAAAATTAAACTACTAGAGGAAAAGAAAAAGAATCACTTTAGAGTATTAGCGAGCACAGACAATTGATTTGGGTATAAGACTCCAAATTAACAGGGAAAAAAACGATCTGACAAACAAGATTCCAGAAAATAAAAACTTTCTTCATGTATAACACAGGGAAATAATCCAAAGAGTTGGAAGGAACACCCTTCACAATAGAAGCAGACCTCTGCTAGCTCTTCATTTCAGATAGCCAATAGCCAGAGCAGATGAAGAGGTTAAAAGAAGTTAACTAATATAACCCAAGAAAAAAGGGACAATTATTTTAATTGGTACTTGTAATAAAAGAGGAAGAAACACAAATATCTAATAAAGGTATAAAAATTCCTCCACATTCTTAACCATTAGGAAAATGAAAATCAGTATTACAAGGGGAGCTAATCTCACCTTCGTGAGAATGGAAATTATCCAACACAAAAACAAAAAATAATGTATTCCATATTGTTCATCCTTATCACACCTGCGTATGTGTCCCACAAAAATGAAAGCAGCATCTGAAAAAGGTGCCTAACTGGTCATGCTCACTGGGACATAATTCACAAGTCAAGGTGTGAAATCAGCCTAGATGCCCATCAACAGATGGATGGAAGAAAACACTGTGTCCTCCACACAGTGAAGTCTTACTCATTTAGAAAGCAGCACAAAATCCATTTCTTTTCATGAAAATAAGTGGAAATGGAGATCATCATGTTGAGTGAAATAAGCTAGAATCACAGACAAGTATTGTTTATTTTCTCACACGTAGAAACAGAAACAAGAAAAGACTTAACATAGTGGAGGGACTAAGGATCTGGTTAAAGGATCAGAAATGGGGAAAGAAAAGGAAGGAGGACAGAAGGTTAACATGATATGTGTGGAAATGCCATAGTGAGCCTCATTAATTTATACAACAAATTCATGGTAACATGCAAAAAAAAAAAGAAAAAAAATGGTTATTGCATTGCTTCTTTATACGACGTTTTAGAAAAAGTACAGTGTCAAAGAGAAGATTGTGGATTCCACGGTGTACAGAAAGAAGAGGGAAAAGTTGATAACAAACAGCCACCAGCAAACTTTGGGGCTCATGTGATGCTCCTTGATGTATGTTATTTATGGTGCAGGTTATGCTGTTACTCGCACTTGTGAAACTCATACAACAGTTCCCTAACTGAATTAATTTTATCATTTGTAAGAGGTATCTCTATAAATCTGACTTTCAAGTAGTAAACAATTAGTATCACTAATTTGGGGTGAATCTAAAGACATGTATTCAATAATCATAGAGACTAATGGTTTGGATGAGCAGTACCCTCACAGTCTCAGATATCTGGATGCTTGGTCCCCAGTTAGTTGTGCTGTTTGGGAAGGTTATAGAACTTTTAAAATGTTGTACCTTGCTGTAAGAAGTATGTCATTGGGAGCAGGTATTGAGAAGTTCTATACCTCACCCTATGTGTAGTTTTCTCTCTCAGTTTCCTATGTGACAAAATATGATTTCTCAGCTTCCCATGTCAGCAGTCTGCTGCCATACCCCCCTGCCCCATTATGAATTCTCCATCTTGAACTGTAAGCTGTAAGTCCAAATTGTTTTATAAGTTGGCTTGGTCTTTTTTTGTTTTGATTATACCAATGACCATGTTGATTTTGGAACAATGTGGAAGACTGGAATCTTGAACTAGAAAAGCAGTTGAATACTCTAATCAGAACTTAACGGACCATCCTAGTAGGATCCTGGAGGTCAGTATCACTGAGATGAATATGGAATGTAGAGGTCTAGCTCAGGAAGTTTCAGAGATAAGCAAGGGCTTTAACAGCAGCTAGGGTAGAGGCCATTCATGTGATATTTTGGCAAAGAATCTGGTTGCCTTCTTCCCTTGTTCCATAATAACGTGCTTGAGGCTAAATTTAAAAGTAATGGACTAATTTCTTTTGTAGAGGAAATTTCAAAGTAACGTACATCCGTACATTGACTCTGTGGTATAGTTGTTAATGATAACTCTAATGTGGGTTTACAATAAAAAAGAGCAACTAAAGAAGAAAGAATTTTTTTTTAAATGTACAGCTTGGAGTGAAAAGGGCACCAGGAAGCTTAATGTTACAGCCCAGGCATGTGCTGAAAGAGAGGGTGTAATTGTTAAGGAGATTACCTCCAACAAGGAGAGGCCTCCTGCTCTGCACTGGAACAATAGGAAAGGTGTCTTCAGGGCAAGACTCCACTCAGCTAAGTTTCCAATGTGTAAGGGGTTGTCTTGCTCCTAGAAAGCAATTGCTTCAGCATACAGAATCTATAGCTAATATGGTCAAAGGGAGTGAGGGTTAGCTGGCATCCGAACCTGACAGTATTGTCTTCATGGTATTGGCTTGTAAGGACGAAAGATGCAAGCTAGGGTGTCATGAATTCTTCCTTCACAAATTAGAGAGGAATCATGTTGCTGAGGCTGGGGAGCATGGCAGGGGAATCCTTGTGAAACTGTGAGAGATTATTGTGAGAAACCGCAAAAGTGCAGTCTGGGTTGTGGTGGACACCACAAGATGTTGTAAATTCCAGAGCTGGAGCCTGTTACCAAGGAGAGCTGCATAGAGGGAGTGGAACCAGATCAAGGGAGAGATGTATGTTGCAGGTAGCAAAGTTGGAGGGGTTGAGCTGTCTAAGCTTATGACACTAAACCCCTAGCCCCTGGACATGGAATTCCACATTTTGGCATTTGCCCTGTGTTTTAGCATTTTCTCATTTTAACCCCATTCTTGTTTTTTGGAATGGGAATGTATATTCTCTGTCATTATATATTGTAAGTATGTAATTTTTTTTCTTGATTTTACATAGGGTCACAGTTAAGAGATTGGTTTGAGTCTCAGAAGAGACTTTGGACTTTTGAACAGTGCTGAGACTGTGAAGGACTGTGGGGGCTTTTAAACTGGACTAAATACATTTTACATTATGCTATGGCCATGAGCCACTGTGAGGAACAGGGATTGGAATGTGATGGTTTGGATGAGACATTTAACATTAGGCTCAGGAACCCTTAGTTCCTAGTTGGTAGTGCTGTTTGGAAAGGTTCTAGAACTTTTAGAATGTGGTGTCATGCCAAAAGAAGAATGTTACTGCAGGTGGCCTTGAGAATTTGTCAGCTTTGCCCATTTCCAGTTCTTTCTCACTCTGCTTCCTGTGTGTGGTTTAGACGTGATCTCTCAGCTTCCTGCTCCTGATGCTTGCTGGCCATGCCTCCCCACCATGATGGAGTCTAACCCTCTAGATCCATAAGCCAAAATAAACCTTCCTTGCGTTGTTTTTGGTCATGGCATTTTATCATAGGAACAGAAAAATACCTAATATAGTGATGAAGAAAAAAGGGAGTTTTGATTATTTAAGATATTTTAAGAATTTGTCTCTTATTAGTATGCCAATAACATTTCCTTATGTTTTGCTTTACAAATGAAAATTGCACATTAGAATAAAAGCCACACGGAGCAAGCGCCTGCTTTGTTGTTATCCTAATTACAAGTTCATTAATCTCTAAAAACAACAGTGCTTAAATACAAGCTTGTTTAATGAGTTGATTGGCTATGATAATCATCCAGTTTCAAGTTACATGCTATTGTTTTATTGTTTCCAATGGCAAAATTACTTTACCTCTCACACTCTGGTAAGCAATTGAATAACTTAGAAGGATAATAGAGATTAAGCCAACTGCTTGAAACTCTCACATACCTAATAGTTACGAATAGTTGTGAATAATATTCACATTCATCAAACAATATAGGATCAGAGATAATCCTGAGAAACGTTACTTAGACAGCAGCTGCCTTACCTTTGCGTTGGAGTCACATAGCTGTTATCATAAGCTTCATAGGTCTGGTCATCATATTCCCCCCCATAGCCATCATCGTACCCCTGAAATGAAGGTGATAGAACATCTATTAATGATCCATCTGTTTTGATTTATTTTCAGTTTTTAAGATTTTATACCATGTGACCTTGGGTTGCCTTGGGTTAGTTTCTATGTTTGGTTATACTTGACTATATTTGCAAGCCCCCCATATGCTTGAATATTATAAGGGTCAAGAATTAATACTTGTTAATTAAACTCTCAGCATAACAAAGATATAGGAATGCCTAGTCTACGATTTATTTTTAACATTGATGCATGATAAAGAAAAATCAGCTGAGAAATTAAACATATTTTACTTTTTGAGCTATGAGTCGGGGTTCGAGATAGCTCAGCAGTTTACAGCACTTAACTGCTTTTGCAGAGGACCAAGAGTTCAGTTCCTATCACTCAGGTTGGGTAGTCTGTAACTCCCGATCCAGGGGATCTGACACCCTCTCTGGCCTCCATGGGCACAGGTACTCACATGCACATACCCACACACAGACACAAAACCACATATACATGATTAAAAAATGAAACAAACACTTAAAAATGCATTATCAGTAGCTAGGAACAATAGCCCAGTGGGGTCGTAATAAAATATTTGCAATCCTAATCAGAGTACTTTTTTTCTCCTAATAAAAATCATTACTGAGACAGAAAATAAAAGTACAGGATCCTTAAATTGTGGTCCCCCCTCTTTCATTAAACAAACAAATACGTAAGTAAACAGAAAGAGCAAAGGAGTGAGTGACTAAAGTACCTTTTAGTTTGTTGTAATGTTTATTGCTTTTAAATCTCATAAATAAAATTATGTTGTGTGCTGAGTTTGATGAAATTATGCTGACAAAGTAACTGTAGATTTGTCCTTCTGGAGCTTGTGAGCAAGCTACCAATTACACATTTCAGTTATCAATCACTCTGTGAGTGATTTAGTTCTACCCCCCTTTGTGGTCATTGACTTTAAGCCCTATCCATCCATCTTGACTACTCCTACCTCTGCCTCTAGATCTTTACCAGTACATTTTTCTCTCTGGAACACACTTCCAGCCTACCCTACCGTTTACACTTCACTTCAGGGACTTACAAATCTCTCCTTTGAGTTGTTCCAGAAATTAAAATGGAGTATTTCAAGTTATTAAAATTTTCTCATTAGTGTAATTGAAATTTTTGAAACCATGTAATCTGAAAGTTGATATTTTATCAACTGAAGGAAACTTTTTTAAAAAATTGGAAAATTTATTTTTTGCTTCTCTTCCATTCAGTTTTCCTATTAGGTAATGCTATTATTTACATATAACAAATTCTGGATCTGAATTTTATTTCTTTAACTTTCTCAACATGATCACATTTTTCTTGAGTCAAAGTTTCCCTGTAGCCCCAGCTGCCTTGGAACTTGCTATGTAGACCAGGCTGGCCTGATCTCACAGAGACCCAATCTCCCTGCCTCAGCCTCCCCAGTGCTGGGATTGAAGGCATGTACCACCATGCCCATCTTATTTCATTACATTTTTGTTGTAAAGTATGGGATAGTTCTTATATGTGATTTTTTTTCTATTCTTTGTTCCTCTTTCGTTTTTTAAAAAGATTAAATATTCAAAAGTTATCCTCAAAATATTATTCATGAAAGAGCGTTCATAATCAATATAGTTTGTAACATACAAAGGACTTACACATGGATTATTTCAAAGCTGCACTACAGGGTAATGAGAGAGTCTCTTTCAGTTTTTTCTTTTATTATTTTGTTGCACTTGAGTTTAAATCCTTTGGTTGCTAGGCCTGCAGGTGGATGAGTTTTCCTAAATCCTCTCTTTATGTGGCTCCCATGGGCCTCAAACTTACAATAACCCCTCCTACCTCAGCCACTTGAGTGCAGAATTAGAGACATGATCCGCTGAGCCTGGCTCCTAAGACCGCTTTGACAGATTCCCCTATACCAGACCCATGTTTTTCTCGATTTCACTTTTTGATTGAAACATTTCTTTAATAGTTTCTATCAAGAGGTATGTTAGAGAGAGTCCCTTTCCTCCTCCTTTTCTGCATTATATGCCTTCTCCCGATCTCAGCTCTTTTTAGGGGTAGGAGGTGAAAATTTTAAATTCTAATGTAAAGAAACAGTGAAATGAGAGCCTGAGAAAAACTCACCTATCCTTTACCTACAGATTTGCCAATTGCTGGCATCTTACCTATTTGATACATATATATAAAACCATTTGTAGATCATTTCTAGAAACATAAAAACAGTATATCAATAAAATGTCATAATATAATAATGGTTTCATATCATTATGTGAAGAAAGGCCTAGTTTTTGTAAGTGATAAATACTGTTCAGAAAAAATTAACATCAAATTTAAAGACATAATATTTTACTGCTTCCAATATTATTCATGTTGTTTCTGACATACAGTAAAAGATGATTTTTTAAATTTATTACCCCTTACAATTATAGAGGCTAATACTAAATTACTGAAGTACTAAAGGTCATGCCATAAGGACATTCCTGTATTTAAATAAGTAAAATACTATTATTACTCCAATTTCACAATAGTTCACAATACTGTGAAGTCATAGGTCAAAAATTTTCAGTTATTCCAAATATTTGTTAAATAATTATTTTCACAACTCAGATATTTTAAAATTATAATATTACCAAGAGTGATAGATTCACTTGATAATTATGTCCCACTTTCTGAGTTTGGGTATGCTGGATGAATAGTTTTGTAGATTATCCCACTTTCTGAATTTTTGTGGTTATTCTCATTACATTCAGATTCAACATTTTGAAGGACAAGTGAGGAACATGTGCTGAACTGATTTCCTAGGCATCATACTAGAAAATTCATAGTACAATTTAGAATTCATACTACATTGACTGAGTACAGGAGCATAGGGTAACCTCTGGGTAAGAAGGTGGGCTAGAACAATGCTGCCTCCAAGTGGCCTGGAGAGGAAGTGTCAGGACAGGAAAAAAGTAGATTCTACTCTAAAATGGAAAATGGAATGGTTTGGAAATCCACAATAAGAATGATAGGACAGCTGAGATGTTCAGAGAAACAGCAGGGTGAGGCTCCGAAAAGAAGAAAGCGACTCTGAACACAGCCTCAGCTGAAGGGCTTCCTGGAGAGGGAGGGAGAAGCAGCCTTGTGGCTTGCTGAAAAGAACCTAGCATTTCCAGCCACAAGACAAATCCAGCACTCCCAGCACTTCAAATCCACTGAAGAACTGGTTGAGATGGTGACTTCACCAGTGGGATGTGTCAGCAGTGAAGAGATGCTCTCTTGGTTCAGAGGGCCATGGTTGAGTCACCTTGAGAAGGAAGTCATTGTTTTAAAGTGGGCAACACAATTCTTAAATGGTGAACAGTTACAAGTCAAAGAACATGAATTCAATCTGCTACAGTCACAGGATCAGAGAGCTATGGAAGACAGTTATAAAGAACAGGAAGTCTAGATGCTGGGAAGATAAAAAGTACAAGCAGCAAGAGGTTCAGAGCAGGCTGTGGAGTGTGTAGAGGCAGGTACCCTGTACCCCCACCCTTGGTGCCTGGAAGAAGACCTCATCAATGAAGTAGTATACTAGAGTTAGATAGCTCTGAGCCCAAGATCAGCTGGTGAATCAACCTCCAGAATCAGCCATCTGCTGTGAGGTTCATTGCTATAGTCTGGGAACCTTGAAGCCCTAGTGGAATGCCTGACATCCATAGCCACATCCCTCCAGTGGGGTGATTAATGCTTACAGGGTTGTGAATGTATACTGACAGGACCAGTTGTATAGATCTCAGGGCTGTGGTAGTGTCCCCCACTCCCAGGACACATGGAAGATATCCCCTGCTAAAATATTAGCAACTAGAGAGCATTAAGTACAAGTGGGGGACACTCCAGCTATGGGAGGGCTAACACCATTCCTCTTAAAACTGTTACATAAGGGACTGGAGAGATGGCTCAGCAGCTAAGATCACTTCTTGGTTTTCCAGATGACTGGGATTTGGTTCCCAGCACCCACAGGGTACCTGATAACTGTCTGTAACTCTAATTCTAGGAGATCTGACTTCTTCTTCTGGCTTCTGTGGGCATTGTACATATGTGGTGTACCAACATATGTGCAGGAAAAAACACTCATATACCTAAAAATAAATAAATTTAATTAAAAAACTGTTACATAAAATTGAAAGGTAAAAAATGCTATTAAACTCATTGCATGAAACCAGGCTTATCCTGGTACCAAAATGGATAAGAACAGAGCGAATAAAGTATAAAACAATATATCTGTTGAACATATATGTAAAACTTCTGATTAAAATACTTGAAATCAAATTCAATGTCACAATAAACAGATCTTGCATCATGACCAAATTGCTTACATTCCAGGGAAGCAAGGATGGTTCAGCATACTCACATCGATAAATGTAATACAGCACATACATAGATCTAGGAACAGAAATCACATGATCCTCTCAACTGATGGAGAAAGGCAAAGTTCACGATTTCCTCATGATTAAAAACACTAAAGAAGCTAGGAACAGGAGGATCATGCCTCACAATTAATGGCTAATGAGAAATCGGTAGGTGAACCTAAAAAAGTGACAGACTGAACCTATTCTCGTAATAACAGGAATGAGAAAATAGTGCTCGCTCTTTCTGCTCTTATTCTATATGCTACTGGATGTCTGAGGTACCGTAATAAGGGAAAAAATTGATGTGATTCAAGTAGGAAATGAGGTGACAAAGTACCATACTTGAAAGACTAGAATAATCTTAGATCTCATTAACACTTTAAGCCTCACATCAGGATGCAAAGCCAACATAACACAGTTGCCAAAGGAAAAAAAAATTCCCAAGTCACATTAGCTGCAAAGAAAATTCCTTGAAATAAATCTAACCAAGTATGTGGAACATCTCTAAAATAAGAGCTTTAAGCCATTGAAAAAAATCAAAGATGAAACTAGAAAATGAAAGACTTCTCATACTCACAGATTGGCAGATTTAGCATTGTGAAAATGACTGCATTATTGAAATCGATCTA